ATATATATTAATATATATTTTTAAGGGTTTTAAGTTTTATTATATAACTCAATAATTACAAAAATTATATATATATACATATATAGATGGACATTGTAGAATGTTGATTGTTTGAGGTTAAGTCACTATTAGTTTTTGAGTCCCTTGATGTTGAGTCAGCAAATAGTGAGGATATGCCAAATTTTCCAAGTGAAAAATTCGGCAACTTTATGAAATTGGTTATTAAATTGAATTTGTCAGATTCATGTGCGAGTGAAATACTTCATTTTTCAAAAAAAATAGCATATGATAATATTATTTTACCTACCTCAATACAACAAAGGAAGCAGTGTTTAGACAAAATTATAGTGCAACATATTTCTTTTAAGAAAGTACCTATAGTAGAATATGAAGGTAAAATATACTATATTAATTATCATCCAATTTTTGATGCTATTAAAGAATTGTTAAACAACAAAGATATACTTAATTATTGTGTCTTTGAGTTTACATCATTGTACTACCAAGGGCAACAGATATATTATGAACAATTTAATGAAAAATAATAGGAAAGAGCAAAAGAAACAATTTCTCATAATGCAAGCATTTTATTAATAATATTATATTCCAACACTACTACATGCGACCAACTAGAAAATCAAATGAACATCTAGTATATTTGACATTAGGCAATATTTTTAGTTGGCAATAAAACAAACCTGATACTAAAGCTCTTTTGGCTTATCTTCCAATCTTAAAATTAAAAACAACTATTCAAAAAAAATCAAGTAATTTTTTATTTGCAAAATAGTTTGCATATCAATATTCTTTAAATGTAATTTTAAAGCCACTACTTGACTATAAAGACAATGGGTTTAATCTTCAAACAAATAATAGTAATTTATGATGCTACCTATTTGTTTTAGTCTTTTTAGATGACCTTCCAAAACATTCACTGCTAACATTAATATATAATGCTTTCAATTGTAAATATCTATGTTACAGATACTTGGTATCATTTAATGATATGAATAATATTAAGTTAAATGTAGATCAAATTAATTTAAGAACCTCGGAAACAATGCAAAACATTATTCATCAAGAACTTTCAAAACAATATTCCATATATAGTATAAAAATATATTTTGGAAATATTCATAAGTATATATTTATATCTATATTTGATGTAAATTTTATATTTTGTAATAAATATTATAATTTATTTTATTATTTATTTTATTTTATTTTATTTATTTTATTTATTTTTTGTGATCATGACATCTGAAATCATTGTACGATACTGTAATTTAATAATAATTTATAAAAAATATTAGCCAATTAAACATTTATATAGCTACAATTCTGAACAAAATGCATCATTTGAACTTAGGATTGTTCAAATATCAAGTAGAATATACAAGAAAAATACTAAATAATCTTTGTAGAAACGTAGCAATTAATAAGCTTGATCAACATTTAGCAAAAATGCCAAGGTTTTCTGGACTTAAAGTGTTTAAAAAAGGCCTTGGAAATATTAAACACTTTACAGCTAATGAATTTTGCAATATGATGAAAGTGTTTCTCTTTGTTATAGAAGGAATTATTATTAAACATCATAAAATTTTAATTAAAAAAAATATCACAAAATGATATGATTCTAAATTAATCAATGTTTATTATCACTGAAACAAAATGTATTTGTTTAGTCGAAAGGAATATTTTTTAGAATTAGACCTTGTTAAGTTTAAAATAAATTTATTAATATTTAATATAATTTTTTTTATTTAATAGTTGCAATATTGTATATTAATAATATTAATTAAAATTATTTTACTATACTAAGAAAACAGGTGCTGTTACTGTCTGAAGCTTTTAATTTTATGAGATTTTCTATTTTGTTAGGCTGATCAGTATTGATCTGACATTAATTTAAACTCTGATTGGATATATATTATGTGAGTGGAACCCAAGACATTTTGTGTATTTATGTCTTTATTGTAAGTTCTTGCTACACTTCAGACAATTATAGAATTTAATTATGAGTTGGGCAAAATTATTTGTTAAACTTTTTAAAAGTTATTCTCTATCAGAATTTCAACTAAGTAAATTGCATAATTGGTGTTATCATACTATTAAAGCAATTAAAAAATTTGGAGCTATTAACAGATTTACAACAGAGACATATGAAATTTTGCACAAGAACTTTGTAAAAAAGCCATATAAAGCTAGTAATAAGCATAATGCAACTAAACAAATAATTCAAATGGTTAGTATACTTATTATTTATCTTAATTTTATTTATAGTTAAATTTTGCTAATAATAATATTTATATATAGGTATATCATAATTTGATTTTTAATTATCTATCTCAACACAAAAAAGTTTTATGATCTATAAGATGAATATCTAAAAACCTTTCAATGAATGGACTTCTAGGAAAATTCTTATTAAAAACAGCTAATGGTTTTTTTTCTTTATATATATCAAAGAATAAACTAGCTTCTGAGGTTTTATTAACTTTTAAACATTTTTTTTCATCATTAAATAAATTCTTTAACTTGTATGAGGATTTAACTGAAGATATGATAACAGATGATACTATTATTAAATAGTATAGTTATACTAATAGAGTAGCTAGTAAAGATTATATTAGAGCAACAAGCAATTATTATAATGAACCATCATTTAGTGATGTATCAATTAGTGTAGATGAAAGTGAAGAGTTTAGAACTAATAATGAAACTTGTTTTTGCAAGGTTTGCTAATAATATTTTTTTTTAGTTATTTTAGAATTTTATTATATATTCATAATATTTATTTATTTTAGATTTTAATGTTAATTACTGTTATTATTGAACATTACTCTACACTATTTAATCTTGCACTTGTGCAATGGTATGACTTTTAATACAAAAATAACAATCACTTATATAAATATAGTTGTTCACTAATAAAGCTTTTAGATACTTATAATCTTATACTCACAAAATCTATTATTAAGTTAGTGCAAATTATTAAACATGAAGAAAGAGAAAATAAATAGTTTGTTAATATATATATTTTAATATTTATAATAAATAATGTAAATTTAATCTAAGTAGAAGTTATTTGATCTTTGAAGAGCAGT